TTATCAAAAATATGTCACATAATGATACAAAATTTAAAAATAAGATATGAGTAAATTGCTTAAATTTGTAAATTTCTCATAAGAATAAAAATTGTTTCATTGATTTATAATAAAAGTATCATGTATATATGCAGAAAACTAGGCAGTAACAAAAAAAGAAAAATTGCTTTTATTATTATGTGTCTCGAATTTCTCACGAATGCCTATGAGAAAATAGATTATTAAATATCTATTTAAAAAAAAAAGTAATTTTCAATGAAATTTAGAATTAACTGAGAACTTCTGTACAATTTAAAATTGAATCACTTGAAGAAGAAAATATTAAAAAAATAAACAAATACATTAATCTCTTGTTACTTTCATATTATTTATTTTCCACATTTTAAAAACTAGGGTATGATTGTGGGTGTGTGTGGGTCTGTGCTTCAGTGAAACCCACACCCACACCCTCTAGTAGCAGAGAAAAAATTTCTATTTGACTATGTAAGCGATATTGAGTTGAGAGAAAAGAACGAGGTGTGAGTCATGTTTTGTTCCTTTATCCTGATCTATATGATATTTTTTCTATACCCTTCTTAAGGAATCAATATTACGAATGACACTTGAATTCTCTAGTAATGAATATCTTTAGAATCAGGTGATGAAACCATTTTTGTCTTAAAAGCATTGCTTTTTTTTAATGTTTTTTACTGATATTTTTATAACGAAGAAAAATTATCCTTTTTCTTTAATTTCATATATTTCTACTTTTTTTAAAAATGTTTATATAGACTTGAAAATAATATTATTCATATTTGACATATGATATATTTAATGGATATATTCGTATATGTTTTTCGAAATATATTTTCTTTTCTTTTATAAAACGTATAAATATAGTAGTTATTTCGATTATTGGTAACTCATCATTGAAGACAGGTTTTTCTAAAGCAACTTTTTCGAATCAGGAAAGTCATCGTCATAATTAAATTGAACAAATATTTTTTGTACATGAACATTTTGTCAGATAGAAGTTTAGTATGTCTCAGATTTTTGCATTATTTTTTCTCATATATTTCAGTTATTATGAAGTCTACAAGTTCTAGAAATAAATGAATTAACAGTTAAAAAGAGTATTTCAATGAAAATTTGTTTTAGAAAAAATCTAAATCTTATACCTGTCGAAGTAATACATTTCAATTTTGGGTGTGGGTTTGGGTAAAGCTGAAGAAAAGAAAATCCACACACTCACATTCATACATACCTACACATCACCCTCACAATAGATCATCCCATCGAAACAAATAAGAGTCGAATGAATATTGATAAAAATTGCATCAATAAAACAAAATACCCTTCGTGATTAAAATCTTAAACTGATTTTGATCGAACCCTGATTATAATAACAATGCATGAGAAGGAATCGCTAACAAATGAGTTTACTTGAGGGCTGCTTGTAATGATGCTGCGGTTCAGTTAGATAATAGAGACAGCTCTTTTAAAAAAAAAACGAAGTAATGAGTTTATTGTTTTTTTAGTTCTACATTCTCAGTTTGCACATTCGATTTTGCGCTTAACAAAGTGTATTTATTGAATAAACTTCTTCTCGTTGACATATCCTATTGCTACAGCGCATGCAGATTTATTACTATTTTGCTAATAGAAAAACTTTTCCATTTACTCTTATATTGTCTTTATTTTTCAAATATAAGGACTTTATTTATAATTAGTTATAAAATAAAGTAAATATAGAATAACAACCCTAGTGAATACAGATCGAACAGTGTAAATATCCAGTCATAGTGCCTTCGATACTAGAAACGAGAAAGAAATAATTTTTCGCGTTGTATGATATGAATGGAAGTTCTCTCTAATGATCTGGAGAAAAGAAAAATATTCGTACTGAAAAAAAAAAAAACCACATATCAATAAAATTCATCAATATCCATGTCTTTGAATTTCATAATGAAATATTTCTATCATGTTAGAAAGTTTATCACCATTCAGAAATTAATCCCAAGCAGATCCTAAAAAATCAACGATGGGTGCGACAAGTGGTCGAAAACTTGATTATATATTTATTTTTTCTCGTTCTGTTCGAATTTCGAGCGCCTCGGTGCCCATTGAATTTCGAATTCTCGAAAGCATTTTCCCATCGCACATTTATTTTCGACTACTCGGACATATTTCGGCCCGCTTGAAAACCATCGAAATAACGACTACTTGAAGAGAGGAGACCTATTGGAAAGATTATTTCGATTATTCGATTTGATTCCGATCAGTCGGAAGGGAGCCCATCGAACTATCGAGTGATCGAAATGAGTGTCCCATCTTGCATCCATTTTCGACTCCTCAAGCACGTTGAGCCTTTTGATCCAGCCAGAGAAGTAATAAGCAAAGAATTGAAAGAGATTCAACATCAGACTTCATCCGGATTTAATGTTCATCCTTTCGATGAGAGGGATCTATTTTTTTGTCATGGTACTATTAGTGATCCACAAGATAGTGCCTATCACGATAGAAAGTTCGTTATAAATATTCGATTTCTTTTAGATTACCCGAATAAACCACCTGGAATTATTCTTCTAACATACATATTTCATCCCTGTATACGTCCGCTTATGTTTATAAATGAGACTCTTGTACAAAAAGGATGGAATCGAGATTCGACTTTATCAAACATGTTACGAGACTTTCTGACACTACTCTCCAATCCTTCTATAGACGATGGGCGCATTGATTATATTGCATGGCTTTACAAATATGATCGTGAAGAATAGAACAGAGCAGCACTCGAATTTAAGGACCCTCGAGACGAGGAAGAAATGAGATGATCCATAGATAAAAAACTATATCTAAAGAATTGACGGAAATAGGAAAAGATCCTCAATTTTCGGCTAGTCCTATTACTAGCGATAACATTTTCCAATGGAAAGTAACAATTAGAGGATCTAGTGATACTCCCTATGCAGATCGCGTTCTCAATCTAAAAATTTATTTTTCTAAAGACTATCCATTTAATCATCCGTTAATTAAATTTGAAACTCTAATATTTCATCCTAATATATCATCTGACACTGGTTACTTCTGTGAAGAATCTATTCGGAAGCTATGGAGATGGGATCTGACTATCTCGAAACTTTTATTGTCGATATTAGCATTACTTTCCAATCCAGATATCAGTAATACAAACAATTATGAAGCTGCCAGTCTTTACCAGCAAAATCGAGAAGAATTCAATAGAATTGCACGTAGATGGCCACAAAAATAGGCGAAATGAAATATTGCGGAAATATTTATCAAAACAGCTATGTGTGTTTTTCCTTTTTTTTCATATAACCTACTTCTTACAATAAAATAAGCATACATTCTACTTATTTGAGAGTGTGCATGTGGATGGTGTTGACGTGAGTGTACTTGTGTTCTTTTGTCAAACCTACACCTATACCAGAACAGTCAATTATATCATTGTTTTCATAACTAACGAGGGAATCTCCTCAACTGTTAAATCACTTTTCGATTGAATATATGCTCAAATGATAGACCTCAATGAGTTACTAAATAACCTACAAATGTTTGGTTTTCTAGATCTCTGAAGCACAGATGCACTAGTATTATTATTACTAGTTTTACTGTACTACTGCATTAATATAAAGGGTCTGAAAAGTAACTCCGTATTTTATATTTTTTATTATTCTCAATTAACAAAAGATATTGTAATGAATTTTTCACTGTTTTGAAGTATGTGTCATGGCATTTTGTTGTAGATGAAACAAATCGATTGATTGTTTGACTTTATAAGATCAAACATGACTCTCGTCTGGTGAATATCTGAAGGTAACTCATTATTTTGAGAAATTTATTATTGTTATTCGAGAACAGATACTATAGCAACTACAGAATTGTATGAACAACGAAGATTCCTATGTAGATATTTCGAGGCATTATATGTTATAATATTACGTAATACTTCAAACCAGCAAAAAAGTTGTTATGGTGTCAGTTCTCATTTAACAATAATAAACTTCTCATAATGGTGAGTTATTTTTAAATATTCAACAGACGAAATTCATGCTTGACGTTAGAACGTCAAACTATCAGTCGACTAGTTTCATCTACAACAAAGTGTGATGACACATATTTTAAAACAGTGAAAAATTCGTTACAATATCTTTTGTTGCTTTAAAAGTACTAAAGGATTTAAAATAGAAAGTTATTTTACAGACACTCTGTATTCATGCCTAATTCCTATTCTATAATTCTCGAATACTTCTTTAGATGCTATGAAGTACATGAATCTGTTAAGATTGGGTATCAGGAATTATTTTATTAGTTTACCTTGTTCATCAGGTAATCCAATTGAAACATGACAAATATAAAAGTTTCACATCGTAAACACAAATTTCAAAGAGAGAAACAGATGTCATTCGCAAATGGAAAGAGTACTTCTGAAGATTATCATTAGTTTAAATTTAACAGATTAGATTTTACCATATCATGTTGTACTTTCAATCAATCAACTTTACTTCTAAACTTACTAATGATTCATATATTTTGTTAATGCAGTTCAATCTCGATACTGATTATCTAATACAATACAAGTATACTGTTTACAATATCATTAGTGTACCTTTCATGGTTAAATATGCTAATCTTCTAGATACGTAGTTTCTTAGCCATGCTATCAAATATGTAGGGCACTGCAATCGATGCAGAAATCTTTTTTTTTATAAATATCAATGAGTTTTTTTTGCTTATTGTTTTATTTACTGCATTGAAAATTTATCAAAAATAATATTTCTTTAGTGTAATTAATAGTAAGTATATTCATGAGAAAAAATCAATGGCATATGTGATGATTGATATGTATAAAAAGGTGATTGTTATTTTTGAGTATTGTATGTAATCTCTGGTAGAATGTTTGATTGATAATAATTTATAGGAAGCGGATTTAGTTGGACAGTATAAGTAGATATTGATGGCTGTTGCAAATATTGACCAGAAGGAATGTATGATTGTGATTATTCTTCATTTTCATGACGATGACATCGTTTTAAATGGACCACTCTAGAAACATAAATTTCGGATACATAAAAAATTAATTTTTTGTAATATTTTACTTTGTTCGAGTAATTGGTTTTGATTGACGGAAATGTTTTTCTCTATTGATAATATGAACTTTTCGTGGTGGTATTTCAATAATATTTTCAATAATCTCTGGTGTTGGTCGACAAACAAAGATTCGTTCAATTATTTTTGGTTCAGGCGAACGAATACGATGAAAAACTCGTTTTATCTCAGGTGGTGGAGTTGGTAATTTATAGACTAAAATTTAATATTATTTCTTTTTCTGTATTTTAAAATTGTATACTATATACTCTCTCGAATATATCGATCATTTATTCTGATGACATTCAATGGTTTATTTAATCTATTTACGTCTTCATCTGATGACATTAAATCTTCCTCATAAATGTCTTGACGATAAGACTTCGTTGAACGACGTTTTTTAATTGTATTTGAAAAAGGAATATAGTCTTCATTTAATGAATTTGATTTTTGAATAAGTGGTCATTCATGTGTTACTATTTGACCAGCATATTCATGTTCAGACAGAGTAGAACTCCTCTATATATATTTATGTTCATGTTATTACATGTGATTTTTCTGTTCTAAGGACTTACTTTAATTTACTTCTTTGATTATCAGATGTAGAATCATGATGACTTGACGTCAATGATGAAACTGAAGATGAATGATTTGAAGATATTTTTGAATTTTGCATAATAAACAATATTACTGAATGATTTAGATATTCACATGCAAAATACAAGAAACGACGAAACATAAACAAAAATATTATACATGGACACGGTTGAATAAACAATACAACACTCTTCACGCTAGTAAATATTTTTCTCTAAATGTAAACAAAGATATATGTAATTTGTTTATTAACTATCAATTATTCATGAATACAATTTGATAGATGAACCATGAAATTGATTAGATAATATTAGTATTTTCGGAAAATTGAAGACTTAATTTATTCATTCTTTCATATTGTTTTCAATAATCAGTTTGTTTCATTTTTTCTTTATATAACAGTTGTAAGTTTATTATACTTGTAGAATAAAAAAAATTAATCTTGCATTACTCTTATAAACATCGATAAAATTTCTCTTTATTGATGTTGAAATGAGTGAATCAATTCATTTTTAAACAAGAATTATACTCTATGATGAAATCATCTATAGCCATAGAACGATCACTATAGATCCTTTCATTTATTCATGAGATTTTCCATCATCTTCATTTGCACTCCTGAAACAACTTTCAATTCAAAAGTTTGGTTCTACTTCAAGTGATTCAACAAATTACAAAACAGTTTGAATTCATACACGTCAGTGCTTTGAATCAATGTATATTTTTGGATATATATAATCGAAATCTTGATGGATTATTGTATCGTTATATAATAAGAAAAATTTCTGATTAACAACAGTTTTTATTAGACAAAAACTAACGGTACAATATAATAACTACTAATCCATTAACAAGGATTCACAGAACTGCTTGTTTTTTCGATAACATAAATTTTTCTATTGATTATACTTAAACAATTTGTTATTTAAATAACGAAAACGATTTGCAGATGATTCAATTGCTAATAATTCATAATAAGGAAGCTAACAAAATAAATAAAAAAAACAAGAAATTCTTTTAAAATAAATATTCAAATGCTAATCTATTCTTACAATAACAAGTCGATAGCCGAGTTTTTTCAAATGACGAAATGAAATTTCAACTGAACCAACATAATGTGTTGTATCATGACAATAATGATTCGATGTTGTTACTTGAATAGCTACTCTATATTCCAAAAGAAAAAAAAACAAAATAATTTAATTAACTTTAATTCATAAATCAAAATTATTAACCTTTCACATCTATCAGGAATATCAAGTTCTTTACTTCCACTAATATTTTTCATTTAATTGCATTTATCACATGGAATGGGTTGATGATTATCTAATCGTAGAATACATTCAAAATCTAGAAAAAATTCGATCTTGAACAATATGATCGATTTGAAAAATTAAATAACTTATACCAATTTCATGAAAATATGGAGAAAGTGTATGAGTTTGAAGATATTTTTTACCACCAAGCATTGTTGTCAAATTTGATTCGATATGATCAAATGTAGCATTTCGAATCATCCAATGACGATGCATATCTACATAAATATATAAAAATTAATTGTTTTTTTTTTACAATCCACGTCCTTCTTTGTATATTTTGTGCTAGGATAAAAAAAATCAATATATGATTATGACATTCAAAGTAAGCCCGATTGTAAAATAATATTCGCAGTCTATAGACAAAATTTCATTAAAAACGGTATGAATGAGTGAAGAACTTTTCCTCATAAGTCCTATTTATTTACATCCTTCAATCTCGTAAAGAGAACAGAGAGTTTGAAGAACTAAATATACAATACTTCATTGTTATTCTACAAATTTTGTATTTCATAGAGTAACAATGCATATCACAATGTAGGATTTCGAAGTTTATTAGATAACTTACTCAAGTAGTAAAACGTATCAATTCATTATTCTATGTATCATTTTATTTATGAAGAAAGATATAAAAAGACAACATGCATTACACATTGAAAAAGATTCATTGTGAATGATACAGAACAAAAAAAAACAAAAAAAGAATCTATTCATAATAAGAAACTTATCATCATACTATTATGCTGTTCCTCGTTCTCAAAACTTTTGTAGGAAAGACTCATTTGAAAATTTCAACATTTCAATAATTTATGAATTTTAATGATTAATACAAAAATTGCTATAGATTCAGAGTTGTCGAAGGATTTAACTGTACAATGATAAATTCTATGAGAATTTTGACTTTGAATGTAATAAAAACAAACTAATATTAATTAAATTACCTGGTAAAGCAATTTTTAATCCAAATTGATCATTAAACCAAGGAATATTTAATTGCGGATGATCAATACATACAATTTGACATATGATGCATTATTAGAGTTTCCCGGAAAGTCCATCGACTTTCGGGGCAACAAAATTTCCCGAAAACCCAAATTCACTTTCCGAAAATTCTATTTTACTGTCCCGACAACGAACTTTCCGGAAATCCAAATTGAATTTTCGGAAATCCTATTTGCCTTTCCCGAAACCAATTCGACTATGAAAAATCAAAAAAAATCCACAAGATAATGCATTTCGGGAAACCAATAAATAAATCTAGGAAAATGTAAAATTACTTTCTGCAAAGGCAATCAACTTTCCAACAAGAAAAAAGTAATTGAAAATATCTCAATCAAGTTCACATTAACACAGTACATAGCGATTTTGAAATGAATACTTCAAACTCTCTCCAAAAATTAGCAACCCAACTCGGAGACACATAAACAAACATTACAAACACAAAAACCACTAGATTTTAAAAACAATATATTTAGGATAAAATATCCTTTGAGATTAACGGAATCGAATGCTCGGAGACGGTCACAACACGTCATTCATCCAAGCTGTTGCAAATAGCATATTCTTCCACTACAAGCAAAACCCATGTGCAAAACCATCACGATACTCCCCAAAGCGTTGCCTAAGTAAATGCCTCATAACTACATAAACACACACACCACATGATACACAATGTAGACGTGCTGTGAAGGACTGACGCAGTGTGGCTACGGCGAAAGCAATTCCATCACATTCCACGCATATATCCATATACACACAGCTCGATACACACAACCATTCATACTCACACACATCATCGCAGCTGGTGGGGGTGCCGCGGAAGGAGTTCCATCACTGACGACTCCCACACATCTATATACACACACATCCATACACACACATCATCGCAGCTGGTGCACGTGCCGCGAAAGGAGTTCCGCCACAGTCGACTCACACACATCTATATACACACACATCATCGCAGCTGGTGCGGGCGCCGCGAAAGGAGTCCCATCACTGACGACTCACACACATCTATTCACACACATCCATACACACACACATCATCGCAGTTGGTGCGGGTGCCGCGAAAGGAGTCCCATCACTGTCGACTCACACACATCTATACAGACACACTTCCCTGTCGGAGTTGTAACTTCGATACGACATATACATATACGCACGAAAAGAAAGTCTTTTTTTTTGCGTAGCTAACAAGGCTGTCTCCTATCATTTTAACTGAGGTTTGCTCTTTAATATAACAGTACTCCTACATGTATTGTGTGGAATGTCACCTATGTATCGCTTATCAAAATCTTTATTGCAGTTCTGGAAAATTGAAATCGATTTCCTGGAAATCGAAAAGTTCCCATTATGTGGGGTGTGGGTGTGGTGTCTGTGGGTGGGTGTGGTGTCTGCGGTTGTGGGTGTGGGTGTGCGACTAGCTATAGGTAACCTCTTCATGAACACCCACACCCACACCCACACCCACACCCACACTCACACCCACACCCACACCCACACCCACACCCACACCCTCACCCACACCCACACCCACGCCCACACCCACACCCACACCCACACCCACACCCTCACCCACACCCACACCCACACCCCAAAGGGGTTGCGCTAACAGCTTTTAATCGATTATAATCGATTTATGTAATTGCACCATATCTATTTGAAACAATTCATATAGGAGTTCCAATATTACCATCTTTGCGTGAGTTTGGTTCCGTAGCAACTCTAGAGGTTGTCAATACGAGGAATTCTAATATTCATGAAAAATGTTGAGGTTTCTGTTCCAATATCGAGAAAAGCACTGATCCTCTATATGTATAATTAAATTTGATTAACAAGTAATAATCGATTAAAATGGATTAATAGGTAGGAATAGATTAAAATCGATTAAAAGCTGATAATAGATTAAAATTAATTGATAGGTAGTATCACTTGAAAATCCATGGAAAAATACTGGAAATAATCTGATTATAATAGTGCTATTATAATAGATTTTGAATCACAGATTAATCTATTATAATCAAAGTTCTTCCGACTTGTTTTTACATGGGTAGCATCACCATTATTTGGATAATGAGTCATTCATTTCATTATTTTTACACCTTTGAAAATGTTGATAAAAGAACGTCACTGGAAAAAAGTGCAATCGATGAAGAAACACTTATGTTCTCCTTGAAACAAGGTAACAGAATTGTTATTTTTGGCTCGTTTTTTTCCTGCGTTATTTTCAAGTTGGAAAGAGATAAAATGACGTCACTTTTTCCCAGTGACTTCTAGCTGAGTGTGCACGTGAGAATAAACGGATAAATGACCGACTTTCTTCGTTCTTTTTCTTGTTTCTCCCCTTCTATAAGTGTTCACGCTTTTTTATATAAGGCTGTTATTAATTGTTGGAAGATGAAAACACTTCTTGGTTACTGGACTATTGTGTCGCAGTTCAGCTTACTTGATATTAATTTTTTTCGGGATTTATTTGTGAGTAGTAAATCGAGTTTAATGAAAATGATTCAGATAAACCGGTGATAGTTCAATATGATTCTGTTTCGACTATAATAAATTTTTTAATTGATTAATAATCGATCAACATTATATGATTCTAATCTTTTTACAATCGATTTTTTACATCAATTTTTTATATAAGATTGCAGTTACATTATATCATACGAACAAAAATTGATCAACAAGTTTTGAATATTGAGAAACTCACTAGTACATTTGATTGAGGACGGTATAGATGAGAGTTTTCTGTCCATTCTTACACAGACTCTGGTCTATTCTCCCCAATCCACATTGAGTTCTAGCGATGCAATAAAATCGCAACCCATTCTCATTTGAAAAGATAATTTTCAGATATTTTTTGATTATAGATAGCGCTCATGTCTGCAAAGTGTCAAGAAATATTGATCCACACACAAGTCAACAGTAGCAATGTCATAGCTGGAAAACAAACAATACAAGTCTTTGTATTTTCTGCTGACATGAATAATCAATGTGGAGCTTTGAAGAGCTTGGCTGAACAAATCAAATGTGCAAATCCAGCATAATGAAAATAAGTTGTTGAACACGCATTGGATGTGTGTAAGAAANATTTTTCGACTCTGCCCTGGTCACTCGGCAGAGGACGCGGACCTTGTTTACCCGGGCGTCGTCCGAGCCGGTATAGTTTTGTGTTGAAGTCGTTCATGGTTGGTTTCTGTCGTCTTGTTCTTTTTACAGACGGCGGTATCTGCACCCCTTCCGTCAAACGCTCCTCCTTTATCCGGACTTGCGACCGGCACAGAAGCCGCTGGATCGCGGTCTCTATGGTGTGTTACGAAATACCATCGTTTTTTATGTTTCACATGCAGAATTTTGGAGCCACAATGTCACTTTATTATTGACAAGGTTTGTCTTTGTGTAAGCTAAGATCACTTGTAATATGTTTTCTGTGGTTGATCTATTTTATTTTCATTCTTACATCAAAATCAAATACCGAATTCCTATTAAAATGAAAAGTGAAAATTCATTTCTAAGTGCTGTGAGTCAGACAGTTTTTGGAAGCCCATTAGGACGTAAACAAAATGAGTATTAGTATCATGCAAAGGATTACTGGTTTAAAAATGTTAGTCTTTGACCTTTTTTTTGACTATTCGAGCTCGAGATTTGAAATGTATCATATTATGTTTTTTCTGAGTGCTGTTTTAGGCACTGGTTAGCACATATTTGTTTGGAAACACACTACAATCTTTGAGCGAATATGCAAAGTCAGGAAAGTATTAATAATAACTTTGATAATTGCATTGACGAAATGTTTGAAGACTGATAACATGTTATTTTTTAGACTAAATGAAATAATCACGACCTAATATTGAAAAGACTTTTTAGATATTCGAACTGTTTTCAAAAGTCAAGATTGCATATAACATGTATGATATACATCAAATCTATTTTCATTTTTTTTACCTAAAAAGAAGAACATTTTAAAAGTTAACGAAATCAATTCTTCGTTTCCATAATGGAGAAGAAATTGATAAGAAAAAAGCTTCTACATTTATTTTATTGGTTACTCATTGTTGACTTTGTTATTAATACGTAAAGATAACAGTAATAGGTGCAATTAATTTTGACGGGAAGATAGTTTTTGACTCATTGAATAAGTTTTCTATTTTTTGAATTAGCTTAATGGTCAAAATTAATTAAATACCGATAAGAAATTTGTTTTGAAACTTGCATGAATTTATCTTGAATCAATGAATAGAGTTATCCAACCAGAGATGAGCACGGAATAGAACGATGCGAATGTCCTAGCATACTGTCAACTCAGTACGGAAGTTGACTACAATTTAGAATTTAATGAATTTTTCTGTGCTCTGCTCAGCAACCAATATAGGATTCATCAATATATTAAAAACGTTTCTTTTACTGTATTATGTGAACGTAATTATTTTTTTGAATATAAACGCGGAAAACTCTTTTCTTTTCATGCATGCAGCTCTCGCACTGTTGGTAACACTATAAATGACAAAATTGTTTGTAGAAAATAAGTTTAAAACTAATCTGTGTGTGTTAATGATATACGTGGGTCATGCTGAAAGTTTTTAGATTTGCAATACTGGTAGCTTAGTTTAAAATGATTTTATTATATTTGTTCAAAGTACTGTCCTTGTACACTAATGCATTTATTCATTCTTTCGAATCACTGCTCATAGCATTGGTAGAAATCTTCTTTTTGGAGACCGCCTATTTGTTCTTGGGCAGCTGCATGAAGCTCATTAATGTCCTGGTAATTTTTTCCGCGAAGCTGTTCTTTAATTTTTTGAAATAGCTAGAAGTCGCACAGACTCAAATCCGGTGACTACGCTGGATGATCCAGCAACTTAACGTATTGAACATCTGAATTTGTGCTGCCCTGTGTACTAATTGATTATCATGGTGAATTATAAGACTCTTGAGGTGTCGATCTTTTTCCACTTGTTTCAAAGCATTCGAGAGGTGTTCATTTTCATAGCATTTAGCTGTACTTGTTTTACTGTTTGTAAGAAGAATGATTGTGCTAAAATGAGATTTCATCAAGAAAATCGCAAACATGTGTTTGTCCACACAACGTTTTCTGCGAACTTTGGTTGGGCGCGGATCATTGCTTGCCATACAAACTTGACTTCGACGCTTCGTCCTTGGATCATAATAGTAGAGCCAACTTTCAATATCAGTGATGATATCATAGACACGTTTTCACCCATCGCCGTCGAACTTTTCGAGCATTTCCAGGCAATAGTCAACACGATCGTGTTTTTGAGCTTCAGTCAAAAAATGAGGCACCCAACGACATGTAACCTTCCTTAAACTAAGATAATCATGAAGGATAGATTTAGTTGCTGCCGATCCAATCTGTAAGATGTCTTCTATCTCTTGGCATGTGATATGTGGATCAACGTTGACCAGCTGGCAAACAGCTTCGATATTTTCTGGAGTGACCGTAGTTCTCAGTCGACTAGCATGAGGTTCATCTTCGAACTGATCTCTGCCACGATTAAATTCAGCAAACCAATTGTAAACTATGCCATGTGAAACACAAGAGTCACCAAATGCTTTGTGTAAGGATTCGAGTTATTCTTGCTGTGACAATTTCTTTTTGTAATCAAATGAAATCATAACTCGAATTTGGTCTCATGTGAGACTCGTAGCAATGGCAAAAAATGTATTAGTAGCGTAACATTTAATCTACACCAAACCAAAAGGAGAAATGCGCAAGAGCTAAAACTTTGTGGACTTTCTTGTAACACTTTGGTCTACCACAACAACTATCAAACTCGTATATATTTATTAATTCAATCGAGAATCTAAAAACTTTTGGCATGACCTACGTACAAGTCGTAGAATTAATGCAATAATAAATTATCAGGTAATTATACGTCTTTTGAAATTAAACTCGTCATAGTGGACGTTCATCGTGTAAAAAAAACTCTTTTCTAGACCTGTGACAGTTTCAATTCAAATAATTGAAGATATCTCTTTGATAAATGAAAAAGCTACTTTTGAAGATTATCATTAGTTTAAAAAATGCAGTCTTAAAATACTAAATTTTACCATTTTGTTTTTTATTCTCAATCAATGAAATTTAATTTTATACTTTCTAATGAATTAAATATTTTGGTAATAATTCTTCACCTTTAATTATATCTGTGATGAAAAAATAAATTTGATTTCTTCAATAAGAAAAGTTGTAAGAATTCTAGAATGTCAATTTCCAGGATACGATAGTCGTAGTACAGCGAGCAGATATTTCCAATGCAATATAAATATACACTTTCAAATATCATAATGATACACTATGGCAATAAACGATCCTATACAGGATCCTTACAAAACTCTTTTATAAAGAGAAAAGTATTGAATGCTGTACTCTTCATGACAATATATACTGATATTTCAGATACGTAGTTTCTCAGTCATTGTATCAAATATATAGGACAATTCAATAGATACAGAAACTTTTTCGATGTCACTGACATTTTTCTATGGTTTTATATGATGAATTAAAACTTTATTAAAAATAAGAATATTCATGAGAAAAACTCGATGACACTTGTGATGATTAATAAGTATAACAAGGCGCTTGTAATATTTTAGGCTTCAATGTAACCTGTGGTAGAATGCTTGATTGACAATAAATCATAGAATCTGGATTTAGTTGGGAAGTATAAGTAGATATTGTTGGTTGTTGAAGATATTGATTAGAAGGAATGTATGATTGTGATTGTGCTTCATTTTGATCGCGATGACGTCGTTTTAAACGAACAAATCTAGAAACATAAAATTTTCGATAAAATAAAATGAATTTTTTCTTCGTATTTTACTTTGTTCGAATAATTGGTTCTGATTGACGTAAATATTTTTCTCGATTGACAATACGAACTTTTTGTCGTGGTACTTCAATAATATTTTCAATAATTTCTGGTGTTGGTCGACGAACAAATATTCGTTCGATTAGTTTTGGTTCAGGCGAACGAAGACGACGAAAAACTCGTTTGACTTCAGGTGGTGGAGTGGGTAATTTATAAACTAAAATTTAATATTATTTGTTTTGTTTTTTTTTTGTTGTATTTTAAAATTTTATACTATATACTCTCTCGAATATGTTGATCATTTATTTTGATTACACTGAATGGCTTATTGAGACTATTTACGTCTTCATCTGATGACATTATATTTTCTTCATGAATTGTTTGACGATGAGACTGCGTCGATCGATATTTTTTATTTGTATTTAAAGAAGGCATAAAATTTTCATGTAATGTATTTGATTTTCGAATAATTGGTCGTTCGCGTGTTACTAGTCGGCCAACATATTCATATTCAGATAAATCAGGAATTCTATATATATATATATATATATTTATATTCATGTTATTAGATGCGGTTTTCTGTTTCAAAGACTTACTTTAATCTATTCCTACGATTATTAGATGTAGAATCATGATGACTTGAATTCAATGACGAAAGTGATGACAAATGATTTGAAGATATTTTGGAATTTTGCATGATAAACAACACTCAATGTAAAAAAAATATTTCACTGACTCATTTAGATTTGCACGAGCAAAAAATACAAACAACAACAGTATTATATGTAGATACGGTTGAGTGAGCAATATAACACCGTTCGCACTAATGCATTTTTTTTTCTCTAAGTGTGTACATAAAAAAATATAATTTCTTTATTAGCTATTAATTAACCATAAATATAATTTGATAGATGATCCATAAAATCGATTAGATACAGGTAGCATTTTTTCTAAAATTGATCATTTCATTTATTCATTTATTCATATTTATTTTATTTACTTTCTTTTATATTTTTAATTTTAATTTTATTATGTTTGTAGAATTAGATAAATAATATTATGTTATTCTTATAAATACCATTAAAATTTTTTTTTATTGATATTGAAGTAAGTAAATCAACTTATTTTTCAATCAATAATTATATTCTATGATGAAGTCGTCCTATAACTACATAACATGTGACTCAACAAAATATAAAATATCTACTTTTAACTTAATTACTACCATTTAAAAATAGAAACCGAACTCTAAATCGTTCAATGACATAATCTATCAATCATAAGTACCAAATAATTATTGCATTTCATTTCCTCATTCACTAAAAAAAAAAATTCTCGTCCTGGCGGATCCATTCGCACTTAAACTATTGGTTCTTATGGATACCGCAGTATAGACGTGTAATATGTGCAGATACGATTATTTACCATCTATTGATATACGTTATCAATAACTTACTATTAATGCAAAAAGAAAACGAATATATCAAACAATAATTATGTTCATGGACATATCCCAGGTAGGAAGAAAACGTGAAAAGTAGAATGCATACAAATATACTGAATAATTAATAATAAAACAAGTTGTATATCATTGCCTATTATATTTATAACTCAAGGCAAAATTCACAAACCTAATCAAAACAAAAATGTTCTGATAACAAAATGCAGTGCATTCGGAACAATGTTGACTTGTCAGAGGATAATAGATTGAAAAGATATTTGAAACAATATGAATTCACATACATCAGTACCTTCAAATAATGTTTTTTTGTTTTATTTTGTTGTCGTCATATAGTAAGAAGAAAAGTTTTTGATTAACAACAATTTTTATTAGACAAAAACTAACGGTACAATATCATAACTACTAATCCATTAACATGGATTCACAGAACTGCTTTTTGTTTTTTTCTAAAACATAGATTTGTCTATTGATTATGCTTGAATAATTTGTTATTCAAATAACGAAAACGACTTGCAGATGATTCAATTGTTGTTAATTCGTAATAAGGAAGCTAATAAAAAGAAAAAAGTTTCTTTAAATAATTATTCAAATATTAATCAATTCTTACAATAACAAGTCGATAGCCGAGTTTTTTCAAATGACGAAATGAAATTTCAACTGAACCAACATAATGTGTTGTATTATGACAATGATGATTTGGTGTTGTGACTTGAATTGCTACTCTAAATTCAAAAAGAAAATGTTTTAATTAACTTAATTCATGAATTAAAATTATTTAACCGTTCACATCCATCGGGAATATCAAGTTCTTTATTTCCACTAATATTTTTCATTAAATCATATTGATCACATGGAACGGGTTGACGATTATCCAATCGTAGAATACATTCAAAATCTAGAATAAATTCGATTAAGAATAATATAATATACTTGAAAAACTAAGAACCATACCAATTTCATGAAAATATGGAGAAAGTGTATGAGTTTGAAGATATTTTTTACCACCAAGCATTGTTGTTAAATTTGATTCAATATGATCAAATGTAGCATTTCGTACCATCCAATGACGATGCATATCTAAACAAATGTAAAAAAATTTATTTTTTTTTTTTTTCCAAAATCTTGCTTTTATACTATTCTTTGTTTCGAATCTTATATCAATATAAAGTGTATTCAAGAGTTAAAATCAAAATATTTTTAATCTTGTATATTAAGATTACAAAAATTTTCGTCATACAAACTAATGAAGAAAGGTTCCTAACTGATCCATACTTTTTTTTTTTCAATAATATTTTGTCTATATGCTAGAAACATTATTCTACGATAGAGCTTAATTCAAAGGTTATGAATATGTTACTGACTTTTCAATCTAACATAATATGTATACAGAAAATCTCATTCACAACAAAAATTTTTCCCATTGAAATGTTTAGAGTGTTCGAATGACTACAAGCACTATATGAACGTAAATTTAGATTGAAATTCTGCTGTTCGATTCTACTTATATACCTTGTGCTAAGTGGAAAAATCAGTAAAATGATATCGTAAAATACAGACCAACTATGATTGAAAACGGCATGGATAAGTTGAAAATCTTTCCTCATAAGTCCTATGAATCAATGTAAAAGATGTACTTGAGAAGATGTTGTAGGTATTGAAAATTTTCTTATAGTTTCCTATTTACATCGTTGAAACCCATAAAGAGAATAAGAGATTTTAATGAATTACATATTGTGTACTGAATTGTTATTCTATGAATTTACTATTTGATAAAGCAACAATTCATACTATATAAAAGAAAAACAAAAGAAACATATCACAATACTGGATTTAAGGGATTAGTAAAGACAATGTTGATGCCTAGTCAAGCAGAAAAACATATAAATTCATTATGAAATGCACTATTTCACGAATGTGAAACATATATACGAAGACAACATGCATTACTCACTAAAAACGATTTAATGGCGAAGATGAACAGTGAATTATACAAAACAAAACAAAAAAGAAACTATGAAATACTATTATGATCATTATGATAAAATCAAGAATTTCTTGTATTCAACAACACTTTTGAAGAAAGGTTCATTTGAAAATTTCGAAACTTTCAGAGTTGATAAATCGAAATGAGTAATATAAAAATTGCTTATAGATTCCAAGTTATTGAATGTTTTCTAGCAAGAATTATTGGACACTGTTTTGGATGCCTTCTTGTTTTGATTTCGTTTTATTTTAGCTCAATCTGATATAATTACTGTGGTTGAGAAATGAAGGTAAATCTTCTCTGTTTTGTTACAAAAAATTCAAATCATTGTATAAAGTTTACTCAACGATAGTGTTTCATTTTTTTTCGATCTTTCGACTTTTATAATTATTTATTGATTTTTGAGATATGTCCAGTAAATAGAAGATACTTAGAAATTTATATAAGACAGAAAAAAAAATCGTACTAAAATAATATTTGTCTAGTTGTAATTAGGAATGTGACGGTGACAATGATCACTAACCCCCCCCCCAAATTGAACGCCACCCTATAATAGAAAGGCACCCGGAATAGAAGGCCACCCCGGAGCGTTTGATTCTCTGGACATAATATAACGCCATACCAATTTCAAGGAAAAATGTGAAAAAAATTCCGCCAAGACATAATATAACGCCACCAAAAAAAGACCGATACACTGGGACATAATAGAAGGCCATGCCTTTTTATTCTGGGGGGGGGGGGGGATTAGTCTAGGATGGTCTTAAATTTATTTCGAATTATAAAGCATGACTAAATCGTGAGACTTAAGCCTTTCTCGAAATCTTTAATCCTTTTTTTTATAAAATTTAGATGTTTTCTTGAAATAGTCTTCTCAATCGAAAACCGTCTAGGGTCATCATCAGGCTATATATATATGTGTTTAGACCAATGCAAAGCTGATCGTAAGATCAGAGCACCGTTACCTTTACATCCCTCGTTTTAATACACAACTTCAAAATACAAATTCATCTGAGAATTTTAACATTGACTGTTACAAAAAGATATCCCAGTATCTAGTATATTACCTGGTAAAGCACTTTCTAATCCAAATCGATCATTAAACCAAGGAATGTTTAATTGTGGATGATCAATACATACAATTTGATTTAAACGAAATAATGGTTGACCAAGTTGAATAGAATTTTTTTTTAATGATACTTGATCAACACTACCAAGAAATGATAATGAAAAAATATCATGTAATAATTTTTCATCTAATTGATTTAATAAACCAGTACTTGTCATAGCTAACCATAGCATATCAATTGGACGTATATCATCTCCATTTTCATAAAGATGACGAGCTAATGAACATAAATCATTGATTTGTTCAGGTTTATAATTAATTTTATATAAACAACGAAAAAAAGTTGCTATTAATCTTAATGATGTTGCTTGTGTATCAATTAATGTTGAACACATTGAATCAAGTAATGATGGATATAAACGTGCTGAATGAGAAAATAATAATGATAAATTATTTACATCACGTAAACTTAATAATGTTTGATTATCAAATGAATTTAAACGTTCAAAAAATGGTTCTAATATTGGTGTATCAATATTATAACGTGATGATGTTATATGACTTAAAAAATTCACTAAATGACTAAATGGATATATTGATAAATTTGATAAATGTTCCATTTTATGATGAACAATTATATCATGAATTTGTTTTATTTGACGTTGAAATGTCATATTAGCTGCGTCGGGTGTTGTTAATGATGCTGCATTATAATATCCTAAAAACAAAAGTAAATAAATAATTAATATTATATAATCGAGTTTTGTAATACATTACAAGTAGAAAACTACTTTTTCCTAATAATGAATATTTTCTTTTTCTTAAGCTTAACAATAGAACTATAACTGGAATTGGAATTAAAGAAAGAGATTAGGTTCTACTTATGTCAAATTATACGCTTTCGAACTTTGTTTTTATGTTGAAAATAAAGTCCAATACATTGTTTATATTTAATTAAATTATAAATGATCGGAAACATAAAGGATATTTACCTTTATACGCATGATTTTAAACAGAAATTTCGTATTACAACTCGACTCGTACAATCAGTGAATTGCTTTAAATAAATTTATTTGAATATATGCATTCTAGCATTCAGAAAGAAATCTATCATTCGGATATATGATTTGCGAGGATGACGAACAACAGACTAATGGGCATAGTTTATTGCTGCCAAGATTTCGCATTTTTACAATAATTCACAGTGCACTCATATACATTAGCTGATGCTAAAGTCTTATTTTAGGAAAGGAGAATATTATAAGAACTGAAACTTTCACAATAAACTATTCTCGTTAAGATCTGTCACTATGCAAAGTTTCAACTCGAAATCGACTAAAAAAATACCGTAAAAATGTAGCATTTCAGCAATAATAAGTTAAGAATCTGAACTGTTTTCGATATATTTATTGCTCATTAGAGTTTGCACAATGAACATAGCACTGACTCCAATATGAATAATCAATTGAAAGACTTCTCTCGTGAAAGAATATGAACTCATTTTATGATTTGCTTGAAAGATAAAGCCTTAACTAGATTGTCTTGTATAAAAAAAGTTTTAGAATTCTTTTTTACACACAGTGCCATTGAAATTTTAGATTTTTGAAAATATAAATTCTTATCTATCAAGATTATATAACATTTCGATGATTTGAAAAATTCAAATCTCAGTAATACAGCAATTTTTGTTTTATATAACTTTGCTTAGTTAATAGATTAGGTTTATGTATTTTTTTTCTATCTTACCGGCAAGAAGTGTACCAGTATCTTTTAAGTTTGCTTGAGCTATCATTGCATCAGCATTGATCATAATATTTCTTGGAATAGCAGTTCCACTCAAAGCATACTTTAAATAGAATGTTAAAATTGCTAAATATTGATCACGTATAAACCATGTTTCATTTGCTCGTGATTTTGTACGTTCAATTTCAGCACGTAGATGCATTATAAAGTCAGCACCAGCTGATTCAGATGTATAATAATCAATATTTTTATTTATATGTTCAGTTAATACAATAAGCATTGGCCAAAAATCATTTTCATCTAAAAGAACAACAATCAAAATAATAAAATCTAATATTTTCTTTTTTTTTCATTCTTTTATTTTTATTTACATTCATCACTTGATAATGATATATATTTTAATTTTTGATGTATACGTAATAATAATTCCAAATCATTACATGTATCAGGATTAACATGTTGAAATAAAAGACATATTTCATGTGGATCAAAATTATCTAAACACATATGTAATTTTTTATTTAATCGAAGTTTTAATTTTATTTTTGAATATTTATATAAAGCACATGTCATATAAAGAGTATCATGATCAACAAGAATATTATTTTTATCAAGTTCATTATTACATCGTATTACAGCTAAATCAAATAGATCATTTAATGGACGAAAATGTCTAAAATTAAAATAAAGTATATTGAAATAAATTTTTTTTTAATTTTCTTTAATAAAAAGAAAACCTTTTAGCTGATGATAATATTAAATAAGTATCAAACCATAATATTTTATTTAAATTGAGACTCCAATTTAAAAATGCATGTGATATCCATCGTTTCATTTGTGTAGGATACATTCCACCTAATGTTAATAAACGAACAAATGTATCTGGACCTGCAGTTGAAGCAAGTTTTTCAATATGTTCATCAATTATTTTTGCAACTATTGTTAATAACTATTATTAAACAAAAAAAAAAAAAAACGTTCGTCGAATAAATAATCAATAAAGCATACGTGCTTGTGTATCATCAGTTTGGGTATTTGATAATGGTATAGCCATACCTAAGAGATGCATTATACCAATAGTACTTTTAACTGTTGTTGCTGTATGTGAAGATCCGACTTCAGATAATAATTGATGGAATCTTGCAAGTAATGGTTTGTATAATGGAAGAACTAAATATATTAAATATTAAATACAATATCTTTCAAAAGTTTTTATGTATAATTCTATTCGTTATTTCATGAATATCTTGTTTAGTAGTGAATGAAAATCTTCATTACTGTATGTACTGGCTTAGTGGCGTAACTAGGGGTGAGCATGCCTGGGCACCGGTCAAAAGAAAAATTACACCTATCATCGGAACATCTTTTGTTGCATAATCAAAGGCATTGAGAACCATTCGTAAGTCTTACAAATACGATAAAAACTAGACACGTTGATGAGTAGGCAGTATTTGTTCTCTGTTTACATGGTCCGTTTTTCTTTTTTCTGTTTGATTTTACTCCACAAAAAGAAAATACATTTAGGACTTCGAACATGCCTTGAAGTTTAGGGCAGACAATTTTCTATTTTTTTTTTTGGCATGTTTTCGAGAGAATGGACCACTTTCCAGCTAAATTTGAGAACCGAAAACGGAAAAATTGAGAATTTCTTGGTGACAAAGCTAAGTTTCCTAGAGAAGAAAGTGGATTCGATTTGTGAAATTGGTGAGTCNACCCACACACCCATACCCCCACCCCACCCACACGCACACCCACACCCACACCCTTAGATTGTCTTTGTGAAGATATTCAATTGGATTTAGGTTAAGTTTATTCAAAAAATATCAAAATGCTTTTAAAGAATTGATTGTGATCGAATTCGAACTTTTCGTCAATCAGCACAACTTGTTCTCACTGTGATCAATACAATTTTAGAATGTTTCACAAAAAACCCGAGTCAATCTTGAATTTTTTTATTTTAAACAAAAAGATAATTGAAAATGATTTGATTTTATTAAAGATGATCCGAAGAAAAATCATGAATAGTGAAAAAAAAATTTTCTTTAATGATCCTCTTTATTATAGTCGAGATCAAATAGTAGTGATCAGATTTTGTTGATATGTTAACAAAAATTTGTTCAATTAGAAACATTTTGTCCACCATTTGTTGCTCAATCTTCAAAAGTAGCTGCTAATCGATGTAGTACTTGAATTTGAACTATTTAGAAACATTCTAAAATAAATCAATTGCAAAGAATTAAACTCGAACAAGTGAAAACTGACGAAAAACTTCTCAATAAAGTGAGATTTTTCTCCTTTTTTTTCGTTTGATTCAATTAATTCTTAAATAGATCACTATGGAAATCATATTGAAAAGAAATTTCTTCAAATCAATAAGAAGATTTTATTTGAATTATTGCGATCAATACGAATTCCAGATGAAAATGTTGATGAACTGAAAAGGTTCATTTGATTATTTGTAGTGTGAACATATTTTAGGTGACAAAATTATTTGAACTGAATAATAAAAGAAAGTGAATTCGCTGAACGAATCAATGAACATCGTCGTTCTTATTCATCAATTTATCTATAGAAATTAGAATCACAAAATCATTGTTAATGAACATTTAATAAAATTTATTCAATCATATCGAATTATATCGAAATCAATTCAGTCAAAGACAAATTGCTGACAGAACATTGATTTCAGATCTTATTTTGTTAATTGTAACAATTTTCATTTGATTAATATGAAGAATTGCTTCAAAAATAGAGAAGAAAAATTTGTCAATCAAGTCATTTGTTCAATGAGAAAAGTTTTTCTGGTTTAGAATCGAATGATCTTCTATTCTAACAAAAAATCTATTCATCATTAAATTGAAGTTCTATCTTAAATCGCTCGATCTTATCAGGTCAATTCGAAAAAATCTTCTGTTTTATTTGATTTCAAAAACTAAGTTCAATAGAAAAAGCAAATTAATGTCTCAATTATTTTACTGTTGATATTTTTCCAATTGAATCAACAGAAAGAAAGAGAATAAGAGGTATTTTCAAAATTGATTTGAGGTATCATTGATGAAAGTGATTTGATTTCTTTGTTGTTTTTTTTTATAGATGATTCATCTTTATCAACATCATCAAATGTTTTTCGTTGTAACGATCGAGACATTTGTATAAAATTGAAAACGATCTCTTGAATTAATCTTCTTCAAATCGAGAAAATACTCTCACTATTGCAATGGAACAATATCAATGAAAATTCAGAAGAAAACCTTTTCATTCTTCGAAAATCAAAATTCTTCTTCGTTTTTCTTTGTTTTTAATGAAACTTCCTTGATGTGATTGAAGAAGATGAAAGATAAAGACTAGATCGACAAGATTTATTCGAAAGATTTGATAAATTTTCTCGTGAAAGAATTTCCATAGTGAATAATTTTGAAGAATATCAAATATAAGAAGATATTTTATGTTCGGATTTGATTTCAATCTCAATTGATCAACAAGAACAATTGAAAACTTTGACCGAGTTGATCAAATTGAAGGAAGAGAAACTTGATCATTTTGATCGATTTTATTCATATTTATCATTAGTTTTAGCTAAAGAAATTTTCATTTGATTTTTTAAAATAAAATCGACATGAAAATATTCAATGAATTATTCAGAGATAAAATTCAAAAGATCATTATAGATTTTCTTAATAATTCTCACCGGTCTTCACTTCTAAGAGAATATTTTTGAGAAATTCTATTAAAAAAAAGTTAATGAGAGAATAGATGTGGATGTGGGTGTGCCTTATTTCCACTACAACCACACCCATACCCACACTCACACTTCACACCAACACCTACACGCACAACCCACACCTCACACCCTGAGAACAGCAGATAGATTAGTCTTTTCGTTAAGAAATAGGTTGATCTGTTTTCGTTTGATTTACACCCACACCGGCGCCCATACGCACAACCTCCTGGTCAGAGACATTTTTATGCTTCCGACTAAGTTGCTTTGGACAGAGCAACTGCAACGTACGAACGCGAATACAGATTCAATAAGAGAGATTGCACAACAAGCACGACGATTGTGTATTCGTCATAAACGATTCTTTTGAAAATAAAAGAAACTTGGAAGCAATGTGTTTGCCATCGTGTGAAGCAAATTTAACCAGAGTAGCATGCAATATGACGCATAGCTTATTGGATGTTGGCAAAAGAAAAAAAAACTATTCCGTCGCTTGATCATGTGTCAGTGTGTATTTAAGGTTGTGTAAGAGTTCTGACTTGTCGTTGATTGATATCTAGAAGAACTCGAGCAACGCAATTAAATATTGCACACGAAGTGTTTTTTGAAACTTTTTAATTCAAACGGCAAAGTTATGGCTGGAGCACCAGAAGTCACGCTTAGTATGAATCAGGCGATTCTTAACCGTTTGATCACTAACATTAGAGAGCGTCTGGAGTCTATGTATCTACGGGGAGTCGATGAACTGCGACAACGCCGTATGGCCTTCATCAACCTTGGTGAACGGCGGGCAATCTTTGACTTCATTGACGCACTGTTAAACATGTTCCGGGAACGATTAGTAGTAGCTGTGCCGGCTCCTAATGATACTATAAACAATACGACTCTGATAAATCTAGTTGGTCAATTGCTTCCAAATTATGACGCTATCCAACGACTTGAGTTCAACGCAAACGTTCAAAATGTTATTCGGGAACAAGTGAACCAATTAGTTGCAACTTCTGAAGTCATGTTGTCTGATGATACTTACTCACCCTTTCTTTTCAACATTAGCATCGATGATGATGAAACTTTCGGGAACATATTGGCTGCTCGAGTGATGGAAAATCTCTTACGCTACTACAAAAACCTTCTGAACGACTATAGACATGGTGTCAGTGAACTGAACCCTAGAGCTCATAGGCCAGATGCATCAAAATATACGTGTACCCCCGACATGACTCCTGCCGACGTTGACAACCTGACGCAACAGCTGCGATTTACCACGCCATAAATCCTGATAAGCCAAGCAAGCTATTTTGCTCCTTCTTTTTTCTGCAGACTCTGAACTGATACAGAACAATGTTAGACCTCTCACTGGTTATTTCTTCTAATCTCGATCCCTGTTCTAAACAAAAATATTATAATTGAAATAACACAAGAAAAAAAAGCAGAAAGAACAAAATGCAACAAAATATACTGTTCTCTCTCTCTTTCCAATCTACACACTCCATTATTCATCATAAAGGCACCATGAAAAGATTCTTCACAATTGCACTTTTTTCGCGATATAATCTACACTGTTATTTTCGGAAAGCCCACACGGTTTCGGAGATGAATTTCTACTTTCTTGAAAATAAATTGTTAATATTCAAGTTTCGATTTTCAGCAGGAAATCAAATCGAATTTCAAGTATTTACAAAAATCAAGCATTTTATAAAAGTTTGCAATTTCACCAATGAATAATAGAAGTTTGCAAAAGCTTTAGCTTAATAATAAATGGATTTTCTACAAAATAGCAATTAAAAAAAATTACAGTGTACTCTGTCGAACGCGTGTGAGTGGGTGTGGGTTGTGCAAGTGTGCGTGTGGGTGTGAGTGTGGATGGGATGGGTGTGACTGTGGCTGGGTAGGGGTGGGAATGAGCATAGGTGAAGACAAGACCCGAAGTTATACCCACACCCTTCACCCTTAATTTGAATAGTATGCAAGTCATATGATAATGTTTGTATGTGAATATCGAGATTCATAAAAGAAATTCGTAGACTACTTTCTTCATGATGATGAATTACCTATTTCTTCTGACGAGTAAATTAAAGAAGAAAAAGAATTGCTGCTTCGATCGAAGTCTAACAAATAAAAATGCCAGTAGAATAGAAGGAACATTATTTCATTAAGGAGAAACAATTGGTGAAAACTCGAATGTGAGGACGATGTTTTTCTCTCATTTAGAGAATGTAAATGAAATGAAGTTAAACAAGTACACGAAACGATGTGAAAAAAGCTCGAAGATTTCGAACACAGCGGTGAAGCTGTTTAACGAGGCTGATTAGATTCGAGAAGTGCGCGTTAGGTTGTTCTTTCGCTTGCAGTACAAAAACTTTCAGCATAATCCCTACAAGATTAAAATGTGAATCACAATGAATTCATTTTACTTATGATTCCACTGCGTTGTGCTTTCGCTGTTTCCAATATCGCTACTATTGTAAAAAATGCATAGGTCCAAACGTAATAAATTTGCTGGTGTTATCTCGACTGAAACAATTGTCGAGAACGAAATGGCAAAATCAATTATTACGAAGCGATCCATAGATGAATAAATCTTGTGCTTTTTGGTAGTTGAATTTGATGTCTTCGTTCGAAACTCCACCGAGCACATTTTAAAGTATTCTCATGTAAAGTATGGACTTGTCCCTAATA